ACCTTGTTGTCTCGGATTCTCCAGCATCTGCAGTTCCTACTATCTCTGGCTTCACTTCCGACTTGGGTTTCTATTAGTTTCCGGCTGGCGCAGCGCCGCCTGTCGGCGGACGATGGGGGCGAAGGCAGCAGGAGCAGGGCTGGGCAAGGCGATCCCTGGAGACGTCAAAGAGACCGGGGCAGCGCCGGGGGACTGAGGGCGAAGGTTCGAGTCCAGCCTCTGCTGTTGCAACTGCGTGCGCTCCCCAAAACAAAGAAACAAAACAAAAAAGGAGGGAGAAGGATTTAAAGTAATCGGTTTATTTTTTTTTTGCTTTTTTTTTTAAAAGGAAAACCCACTGGATTGGAGAAATGTGAACCTTGGAGCAGGATGGTCGCCCGGTTGGACAGTTCAGATTTGTTTTAAAATCTTGAAGAACTGCCCGGGGCGGGGGGGGGGGGGAAGAGAAGGAGCACTTGCAGAAATATTCGGATTTTGGGAAGGGAGGGAGAATGGCGAGCGACAAGGAGTTGGAAAACCTCATCAACGAAGCGATCTGCTCGATCTGCTTGGAGTTTTACACGGAGCCGGTGATGATAGACTGCGGGCACAGCTTTTGCAGGATCTGCATCCTCAGTTACTGGGACAAGAACAGCGAAAGCATCTCCTGCCCCAAGTGCAGGGAGGTGTTCCCGCAGAGGAACGTCAGGCTGAACCGCTTCGCGGCCAACATGGTCGAGAGTGTCCGCAAGCTCAGCTCCAAGCCCAAGGAGACCAGCTCCCTGCGCTGTGAACAGCACGACGAGAAACTCAAGCTCTTCTGCGACAACGACAAGACCGCCATCTGCGTGGTGTGCGCCGTCTCTCATGAGCACAAAGACCACAAGATCAGCCCCCTGAAGGATGTCGCCGAGATCTACAAGGTAAAGGCAGCTGCAAGAGGGAACCGCACCCCACCACCTTTGATGAAGGTGTGTCCTTTAGATAAAAAAGAAATCTGAAGTCTTTCGATTTATAGTCGTAGAGTCGTGCAGCATCGAAACAGAACCTTCGGTCCAACTAATCCTACATTACTCTGGTCCCATTTGCCAGCACTTGGGACGTATCTCTCCAATTCATCTACCTATCCGGATGCCTTTTAAATGTTCTAACTGTTCCAGCCCCCACCACCTCCTCTGGCAGCTCATTCCATACACGCACCGCCCTCTGTTTGAAAAGAGTTGCCCCTCAGGTGCCTTTTAAATCTTTCCCCACTCACCTTAAACCTATGCCCCTCTAGTTTTGGACTCCCCCCACCCAGGGGAGAAAACCCTGCCTATTTACCCTATCCTTGCTCCTCATGATTTTACAAACCTCTATAAGGTCACCCCTCAGCCTGCCATGCTCCGGGGAAAATAGCCCCAGCCTGTACAGGCTATTGCTCAAACCCTCCAAACCCAGCAACATCCTTGTAAGTCTTTTCTGAGCCCTGTCAAGTTTCACAACATCTTTCCTGTGGCAGGGACAGCAGGATTGCACATAGTAGTCCAATAGTGGCTTCACCAATGTTCTGTACAGCCGCAAATGTGACCTCCCGACTCCTGTACTCAATGCACTGACCAATAAAGGCAAGTTTACAAAGCAACAGGGAACCCCACTCTAGATGAAGATGTGTCTTATAAAGAGAGACTGAGGTGTTTAGGTATATTCATAGAGTCATACAACACAGAAACAGATCCTTTGGTCCAGCCAGTCCATGCCGAACATAATCCCAAACTAAACTAGTCCCACCTCCCTGCTCCTGGCCCATATCCCTCCAAACCTTTCCCTACTTATGTGATTATACAAATGTCTTTTAAACATTGTAACTGTACCCACATCCACCACTTCTTCAGGAAGTTCATTCCACATACAAGCAACCCTCTGTGTAGGAAAAATTGCCCCTTGTGTCTTTTTTAAATCTCTCTCCTCTCACCTTAAAAATGTGCCCTCTAGTCTTGAAATCCCCCATCCTAGGGAAAAGACAACTACCATAATCTACAACCCTCATTGTTTTATAAACTTGTATCAGGTCGCTTCTCAATGTCGTATACCCCAGTGAAATTATGATTTGATTTGATTTATTATACCCACATGTACGGTGAAAAGCTTTGTTTTGTGAGCAGTACAGGCAGCTCATAGCAAAACAAAGACATACCGATGATAAGGTGCTTAGACAGAGTGAGGCATACAAGGTTATGGCTGTGCAGGAGGTGCACAAAGAAAGGCCAACATTAGCAAGTTCAAAATTATTTGAAGTTAGAGAGGTCCATTCAGCAGCCCAATAACGGCAGGGAAGAAGCTGTTCTTGAACCTTTTGATGCACGTGTTCAAACTTCTGTACCTTCTGCCTGACGGAAGAGGCTGGAAGAGAGTATTACCAGGGTGGGAGGGGTCTTTGATGATGTTGGCAGCCTTTCCATGGCAACGAGAAGTGTGATTGCAGCCCATGGATGGGAGGGTGGCTTCCGCGATGGTCTGGGCTGTGCACACAACTTTCTGTAGTTTCTTACAGTCCTGGGCAGAGCAGTTACCATACTATTCCATTATGCACCCAGATAGAATGCTTTCTATGGTGCATCTATAAATTCTCTCGAATTTGGAAGAATGAGAGATGATTTAATTGAGCTATATCATGCTGAATAGAATCGAGAGGATGTTTTCTTGTGTGGGGCAATCTAGAACAAGGGGTCATTGTTTTAGGATAAGGGGCAGTAGGTTTAAGACTGACGTGAGGAGAAATTACTTCTTTTGAATTCTCTGCCCTAAGGTGTGGTGGATACTGGGACATTGAGTAAATTTGATGAGGAGGAAGACAGGTTTTTAATTAGTAATAGGTTGAAGGGTTATGGAGAGCGGGCAGGAAAGCGGAGTTGAGGCTGAAATGAGATCACCCAAGGTCATATCAAATAGTGGGCAGGCTCAATGGACTGAATGGCCTACTCCTGCTCCTAATTTAGGTTTTTACGACGAGCCGTTGCACTCCTGGAGGATCTGCACTGTCAGAAGGTCAGTGCGAAGGGAGCAGACAAATCAATGAAATAGCTACAGAGGTAGACGCTGTCATTTCTGTAACTCACTCATCAGAACACCGAAATCCCTCTGCGCCTTGAGGAATTCTGCAGTTGTTCTCCATTTAGTAATTCTTTCCTTGTTCTCTCTCTCGAAGACGAGCACTCATTTTGCTTGCTGTTTTCCTTTTTAAGTGCCTGTGGAAACACTTGCTAGCCATTTTTATATTTCTAGCTATCCTCCCCTTGTACTTATTCTTTGAGTATTCTGAAATATCCCCTGAAGAATCTGCCTTTGTGTTCCTATAGATCTATCTCCTAGTCTAGTGTGCCAATTTGCTTCGGCTAGCTCAGATCTTATGCCCACATGGTTGCTCTTGTTTAGCTTTAAAATACTAGTCTTTTGTGGTATATCTACTGCTACTTAGCGGTGCCATAATTCTGAGGACATTAATTAATCTGTCATATTACACAATACAAACTCTCATATAACTTTCTCCTTGATTGGTCCCACGATATGCTGCTGTAAGAAAATATCTCAGACGCATCCTATGAACCCCTCAATCAGGCTATGACTGCCAGTCTGATTTATGATTAAAGTCATCCACAATTATTACCATCTCTTTATCCCAATGTTCCTACTTTGTCCCAGATTCAGGGGAGGGGATGGCCTAGTGGTATTATTGCTGGACTGTTAACTCAGAGACGCAGATAATGTTCTGGGGACCTGGTTTGAATCCCGCCACGGCAGATGGTGGAATTTGAATTCAATAAAATATCTGGAATTAGGAGTCTAATGATGACCGTGAATTCATTGCCAAATATTGAAAAAACCCACCTGGTTCACTAATGCCCTTTAGGGAAGGAAACTGCCATCCTCACCTGGTCTGGCCTACATGTGACTCCAGACCCACAGCAATGTGGTTGACTCTTAACTGCCCTCTGGGCAATTAGAGATTGGCAATAAATGCTGCCTGGCCAGCAACACCCTCATCCCGTGAATGAACAAAGGGAAAAAAAGATTGTGGTTACTGTCAGGGACTTTGTAGAGTACTCCCCGATGCGTGACTAATCCTCATCTCCACCCAAACTGCTCCTACACCCTGACGTCTTGACCCACGGTAATCTCTAACAATTGCACTAGTGCCCTACTTGATTAACAGTGTTGCACCTCCACCTTTAACTAGTTGCATACTCTTCTTCAATGCCATATACTCCCAATCCTGGCCATCTCGAAGCAATATCTCTGTATAAGCTACCAGATTATATTTCTCTACTTAAATGTGTGATCTTAATTGATTTATTTTGTACGTGTGTTTCAGATACAGAGCGTCTTGTGTAGTCTTTTAGTTATCTTTGTGACAACCAGCCTTGATTGTTGGTGTGTTCCTGGTTTTACTTCTCTGTGCCTCTTCCTGCCATTCTGTGATCCACGTTTCCCACATTACCAATATTGTCTCTTACCTTGTCTCTACCCTTTGGTAGACCACATCTGATCCCTTGCGCCCTCCCCCCACCACAATATAATTTTAAACCCTCTCCATCTCCTTTACAAGAACGCTGGCCACAGCCAGGTTCAGATGTAGACTTCCCAACAGGACAGACCTGACATTCTGCAGCACTGGTGCCAGTGGCTTATAATTTGGAACCCACTTCTCCCACCCTGGCCTTTGAGCCATATATTCATCTCTCTAATTGTACACAAATTTGCACGCAACTCAGAACAGTCCAGAGATTTATTACCTTTGAGATCTTGCTTTCCAATTTAACGTCTAGCTCCTCATACTTTCTGTGCAGGACTCTTTCCTGGTTCTGCCCATGTTGTTGGTACACACAACCACTGGATCGTCATTCTCCCACTGCAAGCTCCTTTCTGGCAGATATCACCAGGCAGGCAAACTGAGCCACCTGGATTCTTGTTTTTCCTGACAGAGGCCAGCGTTAAGCACAATCCCATCGCCCCCCCCACCCCATTTAGTGGCCTAACTAACAATCACAACCTCCTGTCCCAAATTGAAGACCCCATCCTCAGCGCTCTCATTACCTCCTCCGATGTGAAGCAATGTGTGTAGCTCAGCCCAAACTTCAAACCCTTTCCCACTCGGTTCCAGGAGTTCCCACATACTGCAGCCTTGACGTATCACCTGACCTTCCATCCTTAAGCGGTTTTGATTGTTTGATCATGTTACTCACTTGCTTATGTCGCCTCCAGTGATTTATTTCTTATTAATTGTACCCGCCAATTTGTGTGCTTTAAGAATAGAAAAGCCCTTAGCGGCAGCCCAACGGGCAGTGAACTTCTGTGTGAATAGTCTGGAATTGGACGTTGGCCCTGGATACGGACATTCCACAGGGATCGTATGCTCCAAAATTTGCGAAAATCCCCTTCGTGCCCTTTAAAACAGCATGTACAGGACTTGAATACAGTTTTCAGTACGGGGCTGCTTCTGTCTCACACTCTCCGCTTCCTCACCCTCTTCCACCACCGAAAATGTTCTCTGGGTGACAAGCTACGTATAGTTACTTTGTGGCCTGGATGAAAGGATTTCACGTTTGGTTTGCAGCCCCTTTTTAAATGGGTTGCATTTCAATCTTTGATTGCACTTCAGCCCCATGCTGCTAATCTATGTTGCAGCCCATGTGGGTGGTGGGGTTGGGAGAAAGGAAGCAGGGGAAGGGTGTCAGCTGAGAGACCTCCTCGTGAACCTGCTCTTGGACCTGGCAAAAGTGCCCGTCAACAGTGGGGCTGTGGAGGGAGTTGCAGTATTCGACTCAAGAAGAAACACAGAAGTTGCTGGAGAAGCTCAGCAGGTCTGGCAGCATCAGGGTTAAGGTTTCAGGTCTGGTGTCCCTTCCTCAGAACTAATGGTAACTGGGAAAAGGTCGGTTTATGTGCAGAAAATAGGAAGGGGCTGGGGTTGGGAGTAAACGACAGGATAGAA